TAACACGTGGCCCATCTCAGTCGATGAAGATTCACAACCTCATCAACTGATTTACCATCATTCTCGAATACCCCCAAATGCCCTGGTACGGCCGAGAGTGGGGAGAGTCCGCTCTCCCTCTCGAAATACTCTCACACGGCCACGCGTATATAGCCTCTGCCAGGGAAGTCCTACTCACTGCCTTCTCGTGGCGGGGGTGTTGTTTACGAAAATGAGAGGACGAAAAGCGAATGTCCGGCGCTTTAACCGGATTCCAAACCAATGGTGCACATGGGCTCCAGTATCCTGAAGGAACAAATGGCGAATGAACCAATTGTTGGTCACCGGCTTCCATGGGACTGCATCTCCTCACGATGCTCCACTGCCTTGTGGATCAGACCTTCAGGTCGAAGGCTCGGGGTGTGGCCCCCTAAGAAAACCACCTGCTTCGGTTTGGGCACCCGGGCAGTATCACAGCCCTCACACATATCGAATGAGATTTGTGTGGCGCATATGTATTTGGTGCCTCTTTGTACCATTATCTATGTGTTGAAATAAATAAATAAATAAAAACCCTGTATCTAACCTCACTATTACTTATCCAGTCATCCCAGTAGATGTGAGCGACATTTCTAAAACATACGTGACCAAATACTAGAAACTTACAAGAATCCTCTCCCCTTAATGGCCAATCAACAACAGACAACATCAATACAACTAATTCATTAAAGTTGCGTTAATGGTAACTTAACTCTAGTTATTTGAATAACTTAGCAACTTTCATGTACGAACACCAAGTGAAACATACGAAAGTTTCTAATGTGATTTTATCCCATTAAAAAAAATTCATGCTTTCGCTCACTTCTTCCAATTTTTTTAAGCTAGGAACAATTGAAACTGCATTCGTTATACAAACTGCTGTCCTGACTACCACATAATGAATACCAATAGACTGAAGAAATGTATTATAATATGTTCCGACTTATACAAATCAACGTACGACATTCTCTGGTGTTTTGAAAATATCTACATGAAGAAAGCTTACGGTGGTGAAGAGCGGAACACTATATATATATATACTTGGTTCAGCTTTCGATTGTTTTTCTGTCTCCCAATTTTTGCACGCAATGCCATAAAAGCGTTTTAAGATTGCACAGAAGAGTTATTAGGGTCAACTTAGCTATTACAGTTACCCCAGTACCCAATGAGTAATCCAACAACAACCAGCTATTCAGTGTATGCAAATAAGTAGGAACATGTCAAAAAAAACAGCAACGTTTATTGCAGATCATAATAGAGTAAACCAACACTCAAGCATGGAAAGAATTATGTTTAAAAAAAACTGTCAAACTAATTGCGGATACAAATCTCTTACTACATTTAGTAGGACATTTAAAATCGCATATAAATACAGTGAAAAGAACTAAACAGTAGAAGACTAGTGTATTTAGTAACTCACATTCTTTCGAACAAGCTCTTCAACCAAAACCAATTCTTTCTGTCGTAACTTGGACAGATGGACAGAAGGATTTGAAGTGACTAGTGAAGCCTGTTGAGGAGATAAATGATGATCTGGGATAAGCCGGAGAAAGGTATATACAGTTAGGGGAAGCAAAAACGGTTGTCTTTCTAAACTCCCTAGCCAATCTCTAGTGAACATAATTCATGAGTATAACCGAATTACTTGTTTTTTTCCAAAAGATCCGCCATACTGTCTATGAGCCACAGGTTTTGAGGAGAAATATCACCAGCTGCCAAGAAAATTAGTACAAATTATGTGGGTTACTTGTCATTCTTCGATACACGTGGAGCATCAACACCTCAACACTAGCAGTCTTCGTCGATATAAACTCCCCCAACAATGATATAAGGTTGCATCGGACACTTTGGGTCATTTTTGGCCACGTTTCCGCAACCAAGCGAGTCATTTCTGACAGGACATAAGTTAAGTTGTCACGAGAGGTCAATACAATATCCGTACAAAATGAGTGCCTAGGATCTGGCTCAGTGAGAGCCAGATATAACAGACCAGCTTGTAATGCTCTCTGGTCCTCATCAGAACCGGAACGATTGGCCTAAATGGATATATGATACACAAACATTAGTGTACCTGCGAGTCCACAACATTGGCCTCGGACTCCCTTAACTTCTTAACAAACTTTCCAGCAGACTGTAGAGGCTAAAACAAATATAAGTTAGCCACGGGATTTCATTTACTATTAAGAACTTCGGAGGATTATCTAATGGTGTAAGCTTCAACAATGGTAATATCTGAGGCTCCATGTAACGAAGCCCTACTTATGTGATCTCAAGGTCAAAGCAAGGCTTCCCTGAGCGGAAAAACGGAAAGAACTCAAGGTTACTGAATGATTCAATTCAACTCCGTTCCGTTTGTGACAGTGGACTACAAGGTCTACGTTTTTCCCTGTGATATAGGTTCCTCACTTAGCCTGTCTTTCGAATGTATCTTTAAAAGAAGTTGTACCCAAGCTTCGAAGCAAGCAATTTCTCTAGTTGATTCCATGCGAAGGTTGGTGAACAAACAATTAGTTTCAAGCTTGTGAAGTTTTTGGATGTCCTTGCAAATATTGTGCTCTGTAATACATAAAACGTGATGGCTTAATGTGTGAAATTATTATCATATTGTTTTAAAACTCTGAGTCATATTTAGTCTCTCTTTATTGTATGTTTTGATTATTCAACCTCTCATCATACGAAGGATTCTATATTTCCCAAATTGACTTGTTTTGGATTTCCTGACCTTTTATGATGACATACTGCCTCTTGTGGACAGGAGCTGGGTCGTCTTATGCAATGCTATGGTTTTAGTCGAACGAACACTACATGATGATTGTCTTAACATCTACTTGTACGAGTACCTTACACATCGAACAAAGAGTACTCAAACATTTTTAGGCTACTGCATTGCAACGTATAGTGATTTACATATCTCGCTTAGTAACGACTCTTATATCACCATGTCCTGATAACGAGTAACGAATTCGTTGCTGACACAAGACGTAGCAGAAAGGTCTAGAGGGAAGATTTGTTTTATATGTTGAAGTAAGAAATGGAAGTTAAACCTCCTTTCAACCACCAACAAACATTCTTTCGACCTATACAAATGTGCATTAAGGTGGAAAAAAGACCATCCCGAGGAACACATAGATAGCTAGTTAGGTGCTTGCAGAAGAGGTAGTCAATCCTTATCTAAGTAATATTTTAATAGTCTACCACTAAATGTAAAGATAAATCCAACAGACAGGCTTGAAGAACTAGAAAAAAGTAAGTGCTATCTGTAAACACCTAACAGATTTATACATGAACAACAGCCTTAAAAGTACTCTTCAAATGCCCCTGTTAAATAACAGAAGCCTTTGGGTATACTGATGAATTTAATTATATGATCTCTTTGTCGTTTGTTTGTACTTGTTTGCAAAATACGCTAAGGAAAGCCAGTTATCAAAATACAATGAGGGTTTCTTGCTGTCATCGAGGAACATAATCCAGACAGATATTAGTATTTTTTACCTTAGATTAAAACAATAGCACTCGGTTTCTTAACTATGCATGTAATCCATAAAGTTGGTACAATGGTACTGTTATCCTGTTTTAATCAAAATGAGATCCACAGTCTATATTTTTATCACTTTGTTATGGCTGAACAAGTCTGAATTGAATTAGTGCTAGAGCGTCATGACACAGAAGTACGAAAATTGCCCACCGCTGTCGTATGATCATAGACTTTCCTAGTAACTCATTCGTTGATGACAGTGCAATATTTTTTCGTTGAATGACTATTATTCTTTTATTTGTTACCATTCAGCAATAAATCGTTTCATACAGTCTTGTTGTTTATTGTCTTGACAACCATTGTTGAGTAAAAACTGGTATATTGTGTTCTAGTAAATTGTTTAACCATATCGATAGTCCAAACATCCATAATATCACTTAAAAGTCAACATATCGTATTATGTTTAAACTAAAGAACAAAGCCTTGATCAAAGAACAGTTTTACAGGATTCAAACAAATCCAATTTAATTACATGTAGACATTTGCTCCGTTAATACTACAAGTTTCATCTACAGGTTAACCACTGAAGTGAGTTTCTTAATCATCAACGTAGGCATATTACGCCAGTATAGTTAACTGGCATACCAGGGATTACGAACTACCGAAAAATAAATATAGCTGACTCTGCGAACTTATTTTTACATCAAGGCCCTAATGTATTTTAGCTTATGTAGATGTAACATCTTTCTCGGGGCTACAAGTATGTTGGAATTTGTCGAAGCTCCTTGTCGTAGGGTTCACCCACACATTTTGGTTAGCACTGTTCGAGTCAAGCTTAATTTGCTACTGTTTGTCATTCCACAGATGTTTCGTGATGAGGACGATACCTGATAGTGTAACAGAGTTCATGTTGTTACGGCTGATTATGGAATATTTTAAGCGACTATGCATCACTGATACAGGTACTGATGCAAGAACATGTGACTCTCGATTATAATAAGCTGAGTCTCACGCGATTCGTTATTCTGATATCAGTGAGAGCGTTTAAAAGTACAGAAACCACCTCTTGAAATCTTTACACTGGCCGTATTTAATCCATTCGGTATAACTGGAAGAAACATAAAATATCCAGTCTTGGTTCGACGAATATTTGCAAAATTCGAAATGAGAGACATAATGTTATAAACATATGCTAGAAAATGAACCTTAGAAGATTTGACTTCATAAGGGTGGTTGTTCACTGAAACGCTCCACCCAAACAAATGGTATCAGCCCCATCAGTGAGCGTTTTTCAAGGAGAAGTTGGACCTTCACTGGAATTCAAACATTCAGGATTAATGCAGGTCCACCAATCTACTGTCTCTATTACTGAAGATAAGTCTATTATGTGGGACCTTAAATAATGGTTTGGTGTAATCGATGTAGAAAACATCCACTGATTTTCTATTATCTAGTGACTCTATCCATATCTTAAAATGTTTGTTATTTCCGCTACTCGAAGTACAAAGTTTTGAAATCGTGCGGTACTTAGTCTGCAGTCATCGTGGTCGTTATGTCGTTACGTTTCTTAATTTGATCCGGTTTTTGGGAGATTTTGGGAAAAACGCTATAGAAAATTTTGGGGAATATTCGGGAAAACGTCACCAAAACCACAACATTTCCACAGGTCTGGGGAAATTTTCTAAAATTTTGGTTTTCCCCAACATTTCGTGCAATTTCGGGGAAATTGTTCAAAATATGTCGTTTTAACGCAATATTTATCCACAATTTTCTACAGGTATCAATGAAACCACTCATCCAACCTACATATCTTGAATGTCACGTAAAATGTTGATGACGTACCAACGGTATAACAATATTGTGAATAAAATAACTTACTTGGGATAAAATAACTTACGGTTACGTCTGTTAATACTTGCGAAGCCAGCCGAAAATAAAATGGAGAAGAAATAATTATTTCCGTATAAGTGTTTATTACAAACTAATATCGAAACAAAAAAACCGGTATTTAATCAAAGATCTAAAGTGCATTTAGTTCATCCTTTCTTTTGATCGCCATCCACGCTCATTGACTTTATCTCTTGCATCGTGTAAGAAAGCATTGCGTGCAACATCCATGGCTTGTGTTAGTTCTTTCCCTGGACAGGCTGCACCTCGGAACCGTGAACACAACATCTACAAATATATTAATATTGCAATGTGAACTTTGAATCGTCCTGTAGAATCTGTAATTACTGATACCTATCTTACTCTTAGTCCCGTGCAAAGTAAAAATGATTGCCAGTTCTGGTGTCAGCATGGAAGCTAGGCATGCTTTGGTTGGTTTCCGAGGATCATCACATTTGATCTCGGACAATCTGGTCACCTAAAATTTTTTAAACACCTGTTCCAACTTACGAATTGATCATACATTGGTGTGAAGGACAGGTGCAGCGACAACATAGACACTTCAAGTTTCGAACTCCCACTAAAGACACATGAGGAATTGCGTACTTTTGAAGCTGCTTTAAAGGAGGTCAAGTCTCGTAATCCTGACATGACATTTGTTTGCTTGCTAAAGAGTACTGTTTTTCTTTTTGTCGAACACTGTAAATGAAAGTTCAACATCAAACTAATGTACTTATTCAAAACGCATGAACAATTGCTAAGAATTGGGAGAAGTAATGTACTAATGAAAAATTTGTACTTTATTAAACTTGGATAAAGATTTCCACGTACAACACGTCAGTCTTTTAACTGCGGCGACAGATCGGTTCTCGTTGTGAATTGTAGTCAAATTGCTTCGGCATTGCGTTTACTGTGCAAAGTTGACAGGAAAAAATGGAATACATGAGTAGCAACCTTTGGGTACTTATTATTGAATCTTCAGGCTTTTGTTGATACCTGTAGAAAATTGTGGATAAATATTGCGTTAAAACGACATATTTTGAATAATTTCCCCGAAATTGCACAAAATGTTGGGGTTTTATCAATAAATATAGACGGATTTCCCCCAAAAATAGTAAAATTCTGGGGAAAACCAAGATTTTAGAAAATTTCCCCAGACCTGTGGAAATGTTGGGGTTTTAGTGACGTTTTCCCGAATATTCCCCAAAATTTTCTATAGAGGCTTCCCCAAAATGGGTAGATTGGGTTGGGTTTACACAGATCTCGAGACTTCTGTTTAGATCTATAGTCAGTCTTTTCAAAACTGCTTTCGTTAGTATATAACCCTTTCTTTATATCATAACTTTATGATCCATATCTATATAATTATAAATTTATGTCAGCATTCAGTGCGACTTATATCATGACTCAGAAAACCCTTCATTGGTCAGTAGGCAATAACTATAGCAACCAGATATCTAGCGGTTTAAAACCCTGTATAAATTTTCCGTATACCACATATTTACCCGACACTATATCGGGTAACGGGTTAACCTGAATCAATGTATTTGGAATATATTGAATCGTGACGGTAAAGCTAGTAGAATTCACTTTAATACAGCTATGAGTGGTTTAAGTATTCGGGCTTTTTCTATGGAAGTTGATAACAAAAAACAGCAGTTAAGGAGGACTCTTGTTATATGGAAAACCAGGTTGTATACTGCAAGTATTTGCGAAAATAACCCAGAAAACACTTTAGTTATAGTGAGTAATCTAGACCCAAATATCAATTTTTAGAAAAAGTATTGTAGGTGGTTGTTGAAATAACCTCGAGAGAATTTGATCTTATTAAGTACTCAACCGTAGCATCTGCTTCTGTAGATACGTTCAATGAGGATGGTTACTGCAACAGTTTTACATAAAAATATAACTAGCCTACACTTTCAATAAATGCAGTGAAGCATCTAAATTATGTATATCATAGCTTGTAATGGATTCACCTAAACCCGAAACTCAGTCTATAATGCTATTGTTTATCTTATCGATGTTTTATGCCTGAAAATTTGATCCCATGAATTAGCGTAGTTTTTATATATACCTATAAAGAATCTAACGTAAGCAAACTATGATATATCATTCACTTCCTGTTTCTGTGATGCCTTCATATCATATGCATCCACTTTTCTTGAAAATTGAAAGGATATTGACGGAAGTTGACGATCTTGACTATTTCTCCCTTATTTATCCATTCATATTACTACATGTCTAGATAAGGTGTTAACTAAACCAATTATTTTGACACCTATTTGGTTATATAGCCACAAAATATATTGTGCGATCTGACTTAAAGGGACTTTGTTCACAAATTTGTTATCGTGTTTTTATTTCTAAGGTGGTTATCTTGTTTTAATACTTTGAAATATTCTTTTCCAAGAAATTATTTCTGCTTGTGGAAGTACTTATTGAATATTTTCGACTCCTCACCTTTTTCTATTCACTAACAACTTAGTGGATCCAAGTAACTTTCATTAGTTACAAAAATGTTTCACGAAGTAACTAGGTGTTATTCCGTTTTGTACATTGGAAAGCAAAATTTAGCCGTGTTGATTCGACTTGTAAAGTATACAACTTTCAACTAACTGGTCTCTAAGCTTTACTGACAACTTTTACTCAAAGTCTCAACATAGATTTTCTTTTCTGACCCTATTTTGTTTATTGTTAAACCCAAACTAGTGTATCAACTGACAAGGATCACAATATTTCGTCAAATTATTGTAAATTCACATGGAGAATGTTTGGCCAGCGAAGTACGTAAGTCTTACTCAACTTAATATTTGTTGTACTTTAGATTCTGTTTACACTCCCTGGCCAAAGTCTGAAGAATTTTCGAAATGTTCTCATTGTTTAAACACTTATTTCACAATGTCTTCTTCTCGGCATATTTACTATGTCGCTCGTGAAATGTTTCCCGCCTGTCTTTTGGCAGGTGTCGGAATGGTAGTTGCGGGATGTTATATTGATATGCTGAAGTCCTCGGTATGGTCATCATTAATAATTTACATTTTTGTAGGGCACTTTAACTTCGAAAGAGGAAAGTATTTTTGAGATCATTCCACCAATTCTTGGACTGAAAGGAAATTTAGAAGTTGCTCTTTCCTCTCGATTAGCTACTGTGGTTTGTTTGACAATATGTTTTCCTAAAACTTTTAGGTCCATTTTCGAAGGAAGTTTAACGAACTATCTTTCTGGTTGTTCACAACCACTCTGGCTTTTATACTTGTTAAGTGTCTACATTTGTTATATATATCTTAATAGGTTCTTGCTGTGTTTGCAAGCACAATTATACCTTTAGTGGTAATAACGTTACATAAATCATCGGGTACATCTCATTTCCCTGTTGATCTTGTTCATCTTATCTGCATTTCATCAATGACTTGCATTTGTGCCACGTGTTTTATAGGCAAGTGTTCAATTTTTATTGCTCAAAATTTTTGAAGGCGTTGTTGTTTACGCAATAGTATGTGCTTGCGTCTTTTGCGGAACGAATCCTGATAATGTTGCTCCACCTGCAGCCGCTGCTTTGGGTGATCTTGTGACTGTTTTGATTATTTCACATGTGAACTATTACTTTATCATGCGTAAGTTTTTTATTTGTATTAATTTTATACAACTAATCTACTCTTACTCACTTCTCAATGCAATAGTTTATGCAAGACACCCAAATAGTTTATAACTTGTATTCAGTCACTAATAGGCTTCCCAAAGTGTAGATTTTCCAGTTTTTACTAATAAACGAACAGTGTTGCTTAATATATAGCAATAGCTTCCCGTAAAATTCATTTCAAAATGGTGAAAGTTCTCTATGGCCAAAGAGTTTCCCGAGTTCGATTGTCACGTCCATTTTAATATGGATACCTCAATTTTCGTAAATATTTGACCTAAATAAATATTTCTGATAAATGTAAGTCGTCACGCTTTCGGTTTTAATTGTCAAGTAAAATTTGAGCCACCTTGACAAGTTATATGAAAGCTTTGAATTTAAGTGCACTTATTCACAAACCTTAGTGACTTTTTATTTTAAAATTATTGTTCGTATACATTTGGGGTTATCTCCATATATTTTTCGATCCGTTCTTCATCAAAACCGTACACTAATACACGGTTTTTTTTAATTAGATGTGAATCAATACCAAATAAATAATTGTACATCATAATTAATCCGACTGTACAGTCGCCTGGTTTTACTCCCAACATAACTGACTCCATAAAAGCAGTTGGAACAGTAAGTATACTTAGAGGCAGTGTGACTGGCTAGTTGTTTTACTTGAGCTCACTTTTGGCTGACCGACGAAGGAAAGATATAATCTTGCAGCATTAAATGTTCGGATTTCTGAGCATTACCCTGCATGGTTGGTCGAGGAACAAAATAAAGCAATGGGAACTCTATTCTGGGACATTTAGTCAATACCGATCGCCCCTTTGGCAAACATTTTGCTTTATATATATGTAAACCAACAGGTAAATGCAAAAACTAAGTTATCACCTTGGCAACTGGTTAATCTGTGATTGAATTTCTAAAAAATACAAAGTAATGTTATGCTAGATTAATCCACAACTTGTCTTAGGAGCGCATTTACTAATGCTATAAAAGCAGAAGATTCACAATCATCAAAAACAATAGTTGCTTCACTGAATCACGCTCAGTATCATTTTAACGGTTATTCACATTTCATGACAGGTGATTGAAATATCCTGTAAAACGTACGGGAATGGCTCAACTGGTTTGCAGCAGCGGTCTAGATCCTAGCGATTAGACTTCCACTAAGGTTGAAATAGCTGCAACGCATTTAAAACAAGACGTAGCAACAAAACCTGACTGTCGGTCTATATAGTTTATTGAAGATCACGTTCTGGTGCCATTTCATTTGAGGTAATAAATAATGTATAGGAATCGGTAATAAATTCTCCAGACTAATTTCGATCCTTGATCATTTAGTTTCATAACAAAACGCAAAACACTTTAAGAGAACCACAAAGAAATCATTTTAGTTAAATTGTCATCATCTGTGGCTCCAGATGTTAAATCACCTATTAAGGAGTATTTTGTGAGGAGCTTTCCTCAATTTAAGTCACATTTACAAGTAGATTTTAATTTTTAACCCACTCAGAACCTCTCTTCAGAATTTATTTGTTGTCTCAAATAGTTTTAGTCTGCTAAACGGGTTTTTTCTGTGAGGTATAATTAAAAGTAATGTCGGATTCATCCATTGTGAAACTAACGACATCGTTCCAACCTGTCTCTTAAACATTTTCATCTTGTTACAGATATTACAACCAGCATATTCGTATAAGTCCCAGAGAAACTTCACTATTTTCTTTTTATCTCAATGATTGTTCATAATCGTAGTAAAGTAATACAAATTCACTGAATATTTGTCTATTCAAAAGGTACATTCTATGTGTTCTTATTTGAAAAATCTATGGCATCATGTTATAGCCTTGTGGTAGTTGATTCTCTTCTATGCATCAGGGATGACTCATCTCATTGACTGCGTCCCCGTTAATAGTAATTGACATCTCACTAAGTCAATCAGCAAATATGTTCCCCAACTATTTACGAAATATATTGTTATAAATACCTCGACTAATCAGATTATTGAATGAATGGAATAGCAACTTCCTGAATCCGCTTCAGAGTCAGATTCTGCGCCTTTTGTTTCGATTTAGCATAATAGTATCACACATTATATATGGATCATAGCCTATTGCACAGTCTAATACTTGGTTAGTGAGTAGTATTGTATCACTAATTACACTTCAATCCCCTTAACTAATAGTTTCTATGATCAGTCGATCATGTATATAAAGGTAATTTTGCAACGTCCAGCTAATTTTTAATTATATATGATGTCAGGTATATCACGTATATCACTAGGTAAGGAAATCTATCAAAATATTTTTCACCTTTAATTTATTTTTGGTAATGTTCGTGTAGATCCAACTTTGACTGTCACCGTTGCCGTGTGCATGATTTCTGTGGTTCTTATTTTGAGTATATGTTATTTATTATATTATTCAAACGTCAACGTATCTGGTGATCTTCGCAGTCTTATTATTACACCTAATACTGTTAAAGAAACCATCATTCCTTTAACTCTTGCAATTATCATGAGTAGGTAAGTTGAAAGTAAAAATTTGCTTGAAAAGTCATAAGCCATATGGTATTTATGATGTAAAGATTTTGTGGTTGTTCTACTAATCTAGTCCATATAGCTTCTTTTCGATGTAAATGTTATTTGCCTACTGACTACGTACGCAAATGTTATGACTGGTCGTCAGTTGTTGTATCAGAAATGCTTATTAATTGTACTTGAAAAAAGGAAGGAGCCACCGCGATCCCCACGACGTGAAGAACACCAAGACTGGTACAAATGAAGGTTTACTAACCCCAAAACACGACGACCTCAGTCAAAATTACGTTCATATATTGATTGTACACCCATTTTGATCGTTAATTAGGATAGAATCATATACATGAAAACTACCCAGAGTTACAAAAAAGTACATGCCACATGTCATGCTAAACATAGTTCACGTTGATTTAATACAAGAATATCATATATTCAACAAACATCATGCTCAAATGAATTAATGTTATAACGAATAAATTATCATACTAGAAAAACAAAACAAATACTACACTGAGTAATTATCATATTGAGTTAAACATACAGAAGTAATGTTAAACAAAATCACAATGTATTTTGATTTTTAATCCCATCATATCAGTAATTTTTTTCACTTGTGATAGTTTACTAGGTATATGTAGGTGTCATAGTATGTTTTCTCAAATAAAAACATTTCTTAGTAATAATATAAATTTCGGATTAATAAAAGTGTCTTTCATAAATAAAGTTAAAGTTATCAAATTCAGACTCTGTCATAAACACCGTAGGATTTGATCCAGTTGTGATTCAGTCCAAGTTACCGCACTACGTTACTTCAGTAAGATGAAACTAACATGATACATATCAAAGGAGTCGAAGTGATAGTGATGTGTATATGAATGAATTATACTAAATATATGGAATATAGTTAGTAAAAAATGAATTTACGGAACAAATAATATTTAGAATCAAAATCTGTGAATAGATGATGAATCAATCTATCTTCTCCAGTGTGCAACTGTTACCTAACGTTAAACTCCTTAAGATGCACGTTTCACCTTACTGTTTACAGCTATAGATTCTCTCATTAGTTCATATATTTTCGATCAAGTTTTCACGCGTAGTGATATCAAATTATTTGTTGTAGAAAAACTTTATTTTTTAAATAAAGCCATAAATGTCCCCACTTCATTAAAAATTTTCTGTAATTTACACAGTGATGTATTTGTTTCCAAACATTGACTCTTGATGGTTTATACTAGTTGATGAAGTAAGAAATATCTACATTTTATTTGGAAAAAACTGCTTCTAGATACGTTTGGATGTGGTGAAAGTTAGAACTGTTGCATATTTTTCCTCTGTATTCGTATAAAAGCGCGATTAGCTTCTTGTAGTTCAAGCGTCTCTGTTCATGTTTCCTATTGTTTGAGAAATCTTGGCAATCTTTAAGTGTTTTCATCTTATTCCCATTCTTTTCCTGAATGATATTTTAAAAAAATTATTGTATTAGGTAATATCGAACAATTTCTTTCTTTTGTAAATGAAACTTTGACTTTATTAGCATTTGTGGGAATATATCCGCCCGATTTCTAATAGATTGGCCCATTATTGCGCGCCTTCAAGTCCCAATAAATGGTAATTCATCTTACATATACTTTTGTGAACTTTTTTTAACCACATTGTGTGCAAAAGCGAGAATAATACCATTTTTATATACTCATACGTACTCCATACAATGTAGTTCAGTATTTGAACCTCCTATTAACTGCTTGCAGTCAGATCTAAAACTAGACATATGTTTTTTTAGTCTTGTAAAAAGATTTTACACCTAAAATAACGCTTGACTTAATCATACTAATAAGTATCTAATTTGGAAAACAATTAGGCTTTTCCTCCATTGGTTGAAATTTATTTTGCAGTGAAATGATAATGTCCCTATTTTCAGAACCTTTATCATTTTCTAGATCAGTAGTAGTAGTTCCACAAATTATGAAACTCATCTCATCTTAATAGTTTACACAAGTTAGTCATCACGCGACTTTTCTATTAAATGTTGCTTTTTACTCATCTATTATTGTACTTCGTAAATAATGTGTCACGCAGTAATATGTTCAGTCAGTCAGTCAGTAATAACGTAGAATTTCGTACGTACGTAAATCAGTTCGAGTTGCCACACCACATTAGCACAGAGATGCAGTGGTCGATTCAAATCCCGTAGTGGTAGAGGTAATAAGAGTATAAGCAGTAATCGGGAAGATTAGTGTTTGGAGATGTTACTTAAAGAGTATAATACAGTGAAACAAATTTGGGAAGAGAAAAAAAAGAGACAAGGGGGAATAAGGAGATCAAAATTTGTGAGAACATAAAGAGTGTATGCACCTGTGCCATTGCAAACGATTTTGAGCCATGTCATTCAGGGTCTCTAACCACCGGTTGCTATCATCTCGCGGTCCCCAACCAGGTAGTCTACACCTACCGACATGACTCGGATCACTTGTCAGTGACTTCATGGACTTGTGCCGTGTTTTGGTCTGGCCGCCCCTAGGTTTCTTCCAACCCACTCCTATACTACTGAACATCGCACGTCGAGGCAGTCGGTCGTTGGGCATACGTAACACGTTTCCTAGCCATCTCAACTGATGAAGTTTCACTACGTCATCAATTGATATGTTCAACTGTGAAAAGAAAAAACCTACAATAATTGTCTTGTATAAATTGAACTTTCTTCGTAGTTATAAGTTTTGGGATTGATTTGTGACAAATGCGGCAGTTTCGTTGGATACATTTCTAGTGTAACTTAGGAGTTCGGTTATTTTATGTTGAAATGTGTCTGATAGTGGTTGATTTAATTGTTTAGTTTAGAGGTATAGGAAACTAAATGTCGTAGTTTGTTTACATCTAATATAGTTAAACATCAAAGTAACTTCTTGCGCATAGCAACAAATCTATATTTAAAATATTCGCAATACTGATTATTCTGTTTAATAAATGCAATTTCGCATTGTAAATAATCGCTTATGAGTATATAATTTATCGAGTCATTTGTTAAGTGCTACAAATCAATCACATGTACAATAACAATAATTTTTCTTGAGCTTTTGTGATCTAAGAATATAATATTTCATGATATATATAGATAGTATAACGTTGTTAATGAACATTTGTTATTTTTATGTACATAACGTTATGTAATTTAAAGTGCGATAGCCATAAGTAACGACAATAATGATAATTCTGTTTTATTTGTTAGATAGTTTCATACTATTCCAATATCTCATACCCACTGGTAAGCGTATTAATGTTCAAAATAGCAACCATTCTAATTAGTATTTCAAAAGTTAAGAAACTGATTACGGAGCTTTAAAAAAGTGCGTCAATGCCTAAACGGAAATCAGTGTTTTTTACATTTAGGTATTCACGAAATATTAAGACAACTTTTCAGTAGTTTGACATTAAATATTTGTAAGGCTTTTATTGTTATTTGAAATGTATATTATCTTCAAATATTATTTTGACTTAAAATAATAATTAGTAATTTATTGGGCGCTATTCTACAGAGATCGAAATTACATAACACTGATTTAAGTTTTTAAGTAATTCTATTTAGTGGTACATTTGCATCACTTGTGAATTATATTTTGGTTTCATAGTATTGTGGTGTGTGCTACTGATGTTAACAGATACACGTAGCATGTATCGTCAATCGAAACTGAAATACCTCGAGTCATAAAGTTAAGAAGATCGAAGAAATAGAACGAGAACAAAGAATCATTGGTGTGGAGACGAAACAATGAAGTCTGAGACGATTGACTGATATTTGCAAAAGGAACAGTCAAGTTTGAGACAATTGATTGAATTGCAAATAAAGTATTTACTGTATGGCTCTCAGATTTTACGAAAAGGTTCTGCTCGATTGTTCCCACTTATGTTCTCGTTGACTACAGTATTATCAACTTTGTGTCATTAAACTGTAAGGTTATTAAAAATCTAGTCACTGTTATGAACAGTGACAGAACAGAATGGGTTAAAATTATCCTGTGATAACCATACAGAGATTAGCTTGACTAATATAGCATCTAAAATACTAGCCTCAATAATCATCGGGTGCCTAATTAAGATTCGTGAACTGCAAAAACGTGAAAATCAGATTGGCTTCAGACCTGATTGTGGTTGCATCGACCACATATTCACCATTCGTCAGGTTTTAAAACACACGTTTATCGGCGTCCGACAATGGTGGTCTTTCTTGACCTAAAAGCAGCATTCGACTCTGTTGACTGAGAGGTTGTGTGGCAGTGTCTGTCGTTGAAAAGTGTGCCTCAGAAGTACATAAACTTGTGAAGGCTCTTTACTTGAACACAACTAGTCGAGTCTGAGCTTATGGCGAATTGTCATCTGCTTTTACAACCTCAAGTGGTGACCGGCAAGGCTGTTCACCATCTGCAATTTTGTTTAACTTAATTATTGTGAATTATTATAGACCTAGTGCTGGGAATAACGCTCTCGTCCTCTGAATTCCCAGGAACTCATCTCCTACCAGAAGGTTTATATATCGACTTAGAATACGCAGATTACACAGTCCCGTTTGGTGAAGACGCTGATCGAATGCAGAGTCTATTGGCAGCACTGAACAACCGTACCAGGATGTTTGGGGTGTGTTTTCCTGTCTCTAAATGCAATTTGTTGCTCCAGGACTGACCTTCGTCAACACCTGAACTAAGGATAGGGAGTGAGGTAGTCGAACGCATTGACAATTTCACTTATCTTGGAAGTCTGACCAGCCCAAATAGGTTGGCGACTGGCGAAATCTCAGCACGGATTCAGAAAGCTCTTCCGGCTTTTACCAACATACGTCACCTATGGCGAAGGCGAGATATCCGTCTATCTGTCTATTAAGGGACGAGTATACTGCGCGGCAGTCCGTTCTGTTTTAATTTACGGCTGCGAAACGTGACCATTTAGAATAGAAGATGCTCGTGAGCTACTAGGATTCGACCACGAATGCCTTAGAAATATTGCTCGCATCTGCTGAGATGACCGGATAAGTAATAGTGAGGTTAAACGCAGGGTATTAGGGAATGATGGTAAATCAGTTGATGAGGTCGTGAATCTTCATCGACTGAGATGGTTGGGTCACGTGTTATGCATACCTGGACACCGATTACCATGGCGCACAATGTTGACTAGTGTTGGGGACGGTTGGGAGAAAGATAGAAGCAGCCAAACCAAACGTGACACGTGAAGTCACTAACATCTGGTGTGGGCCATGTTGGTAGATGCAGACTACTCTGTCGGGGTCTGCAGGACTTTCGTAACCAATGGTTAGAGACTGGGTGACATGGCTGAGAATCGGTCACAATGGCTTAGGTGTATGCACTCTCTTTCTTCCCTCAAACTATGAGATTAAAATTACTTTATAACTTTCTTTCTCTCAACTAATTCTTTCTTCCTGTACCATATCATAATATGCAATCTTTCTTTTATACATTGCCACTATTGAATTAACTACTTCTGTGAATTCGGTGTTCATCTTGTTGTGCTTAAGCGGTATGTCAATTTGAACCGATTCATATATGTGTCTGTTCCTACGTTGTAGCTGACTGGCACACAAAAATGCATTATTTGAAGGAAGATTGTGCTCAATCATACTTCCACTTTACGTTAGACAATAAAACATCCGTTGCTGCTTTCTCAAGGGACTCGAATTTGATGTACTTATACTTCATTATATAACTTGTGACAATTGACTACTAGTTCCTTATTTTATTTTCAACTATCTGAGGAGTTTCGGTTCTCGCTTTCACTGTATTCCAGATAATTCATTAACTTTTGTCCAGTGATATTATGTAGTTATAAGCTCGTATTTTTGTGTTGTCGTCGTTAGGATGTTTTGACTGTAACGCCGAATTGTTGTGATCCTTCCATGCATAAACCGAATATTGAGGTAGTAAAACTAATCTCAATTGTTATTCTATTATGAGACTGAACTATTCCGATACTTATGCAAAAAAAGATATTTAATTCAGCTTCCATCTCAAGAATGTATCGTTATCTATTCACTTAATTAACTCTAATTATAAAGCACAAAAGCTCTAATCCTATATCATCTATTGTTGTTATTTTTCATAGTTTAGTACAATAGTGAGGATATTACGAATGTTATTACATCCAAAGCAATATGTAACTGAATATTACAAATATTTATGTGCCACACATATTTATCAACTGTAAGCTTTGTTAGTTGAAGTGTTCGTTAAATCACCAATTATGCTTTGTACAGCTTATGATGGTGTTAAATAAATTATTAACTTGTATTGATTTTATATTCTCACATATTTCTCTTTGCTTTTTTGTTTGCATGTAGGTATGGGGGGAATTTTTGGTTCAATGTTAATTAGCAGGATGACAACACGCCTGCATTCAATAACTTGTTCAAAAAAGCCTCCTCTGAAGGAGTCGTTCATTGTTTCTCCAACATCTGGTCTAGTCACAGTTGAAAAAGTTAACACTGTGAACTCTGATAGAAAATCTACAACTCATAATTCACGTTTCTACACATCATCTCAGTCATTCGAAACATTGGGATCCTGTAGAAAAGTACTTGAAATTCATACTGATGTTTCACGGGTATCTAAACTTATCAGATTCCTGTGTGTCCCGTTACATTTTACTTTAACTTTAGTCAGTTTAACTGTCAGTTATTATTTGAAACAGGATAATTCTCCAAAGATCACATCACCTCTGCAGTTTGACATTTTATTTCCTTACCTCGTCGCTGGATTCATACAGGTAAATTATTTTCTTGCTGATTATCTACTATATATAACTGGAGATTAGTCTATTTTCTATTGAATCAAGTTCCCTGTTTTTGTTAAAACTTATCTTAATAAGGGTCAAATAAATATCCGATTATGAAAATGTTATATGTACTATCAATATTCTGAATCTTAGGTATTTTTATCTACCATTTTCGTATTTCCTCTGGATTTGTCACTGTATGTGGGTTAGTAAACCCTGCGAAATCGCTGAAATGAAACTGAACAAACTGCAATACTTAATGATACAAAAGAGGGTCAATAATAATGATAATCAATTATATAGGAATCTATTGAAAAGTAACATGAAGATTATTATCAAACAACTTGAATTGGTCAATAGCACACTAATTTTTTTCTTTTAATTTCTGATCAGTGGATTTCCTTGGATAATTAGTTCATACCGTTAGAGAAGACTTAATTCATCGGTTTACACAGCTGAAACTGTAAATAACTTTTAATGACATTCTTATAAAACTAGCTAATTATTGATTAAGTTTGCAATCATTTTTGGTGTAATTTCAAAACATCTAATATCGATCATTTTGTGTATACTTTCAAAGGACATTTTTAGGATACATTTGAATAAAGTGAAATAAACTGTTCAAAATCTGGAAAACCAAAGTTATGACATTTGGACTATTGTGTTTAGTGCACAACTGTTTCCTATGGTCTCTAGTCACTAGTTTGTATTGTTTCTAGAACTTCATTAAGGTAGTCTACACTCATCTACACAAACCAGACTAATAGTCAGTGCTTTCTTGATAGATTAGTGCTATGTTCACAACCAAAACATCCTATTCAAAGGGCGCACAACAGCTCCAGCATCCTCAAAATGAGCTACAACTATTAATTTGGCTAGCATTGGGCATCAGGTTACACAGTAACTTAATATATGTAACATATAACTCAGTTGTTTCAATCAGTCCAGATACATCACTAAATGTGACCCAATTCATGCAGCTTATAAACTCTAGCTTAATCATATGTTTTACATCTCCTAGGTGTCCAATTAGTGAATGTCTTGCTTTTACCCTGCAAGATCTATGGTGTTGAATGTTTTTTTCCTTTTGAGGTCATTGGGAGTGCACTAACAAAATTGCCTACAACCAAGTGATTCATGTATAATACATCGAAAAATATAATTGTATTTTTTTCTTGTTTCTCTCGTATTATTACCTTTAGATATGCATACTTCTCGAGTTTGCGAAATGGATTGTTTTAAAACTTTGGAAATATTTACATTCTACAAAACATTTAAACTCTCATGATAATGTTATATCCTTAGCATCAATTGATTTCTCTGCTATAGCTGTCACTACCGGTGCAGGTGATCTGATTGGAACAAGTTTATTCATTGTATTTCTATCTATTAGTAAATGGATTATAAGCGGTTGATTTTCTTTTCGTTTTTTTTGTGTGATCATTCTGTACAATTAGTGCTTTGATGCTTATATTTTGTTCTTTGTTGTATATATGAAAATATTATTCTCTTTCTTTCATATTCACATGATTGATATAACAGTTATTTGGACGAATTAAATCTTCTATACTTATGTAATATCTTATAAAGTTTTTTACATCATGTCAGTATAATTTTCAGTAATTTTTTCTACATGTTTATCTTAATGTAGAGAAAAGTTTAAAGGGAATGTTGTCACTAAATAAGTTGTGATACATTTTTTTTGTGTATTTTGCTAATATTATAAGGTTTAGAAGTTTCAACTGGATCTTGAAGGGGTTTTGTAATGGTAATGGTTCTTTCCTTTGATTATTAGGATTTGTTACTATTCACTTATAATGTTTCTGTTTAAATTATAATCATTCATTTGTATTCTCTCTATTTTCCTCTCCGTTTACAAATATTCTACTGTGTTTATTTATACCTGTTGATCCGATTAAATCTAAAACATTTAAAAAATATAATTGAATTATGCAAGAATTTATTATTTCTGATTAGATGTATAAACTATGTTTCTCAGTTTAGTATTGAACAACAACTTAACCGATTGTGAAAACTCATTCAATAGTTTTACTATTAGTCAATAATTAGAATAAGTATTAGTATATGTATAGTATTTCATATTCGTAAATTGTAGTTATTTTATTTGAGAGAACTTGTTTTAATTTTACGAAAGTCTGTATTTTATCTATTTAATTTATTTATCTGCTTTACAAGTGTAGACATGTTGTATATTCGACTAACTATCTACTACGATTAAGTATCTAAGAGAGTATGAGATAAAAAAGAATATATGGTTTCAAAATGGACTGGGTAAACAAATACTATTGTTTATTTATTTTGACTAGATTGTTTGTTAATAGCTAATTACTATAATCAATTATTTATTAAGAGAAGAATCAAGTTTTGTTTACTCTAGTACAGTAAAACTGGTCATTTTCTTACCATTGGAATATACGCCTTAAATAATATAAATATATACATGCATATACATAATAAGTCAAATGGTTTCGCCTTTTATTTCATGTGTGAATTAGTTTCACGCATTGTAAACTTGCTTATGTTTTAGTTTTTTTAATTACTAAACTAGACAACCGAACCCAAAAAATCAATAGATTATTATCAGTCAGTTTATGGGTTGTGGAGATTGTTAAGTTTTTGATTGAAATCATGAGTCAATTGAAGCTAGACCACCATGGAAAACCTGGAAGCATTGGACGGCTGTTTCGTCCTAGTATGGGACTCCTAAGCAGTGCGCATCCACGATCCCGCACCCCGCGAGACTCGAATCCAGGACCTATCGGTCTCGTGCCAGGCGCTTAACCAACTAGACCACTGAGCCGGCATCCAATGGTGTTAATATCTAACCTCAACCAATCCACGAAATTGCGCGACCATCTTCCATTGTACTGGGGTAGAGACCTGTTTCTACCCGACACGGATTAACTCCACTGGTCACGGCGAGAATTTTCTCACAGAGCTAGTCACTAGTGAGCACATGGTAATTATCAGTTTATGGGTTGTTGAGACTGTTAAGTTTTTGATTGAAATCATAAGTCAATTTACAAAAACATTTTTTCAAAACTGAACCAATTGATTCCTATAATGCACCTAAATAGAATAAATTGTCTACTGATTCAAATATTATCTTGAGTACTTATATAGTAATAATCAATAGATATAGAACTTTTTGGTGATCTGCAACTTTTAAAGCATAGTACTATTCATAGTTCTTCTTAAATACATGAAAGGTCAGAAATCCTACTAGTCTTACTAAGTTCAATATAAATAAAATGGCTACCATTAAGAGAATGTCGTGTTTAAAGCAAATTATATTTCTACTATTAATTGTTTAATATGTATTTATTTCATTTTTAGTAACCATTTAATAAACTGTTCTTTTTACTGGCAATATGATCGTTGTGTTTGGAAAGCATTATATGTGATAATATGTATTCTGAATGAATCTGTTATTCTTATCAATTTTAACCACATCATCTTATTATCGGTAAACAATCTCATTGTTAGGCCTTTTAATCATCCGTTCCCAATTGTTGTCTAACATTTCAATAAAGTTGGTTTTAATCTCACAGCATATTGTAATAACATTGTTATATTTACTATTTAAATATCTCATATTAAACTATCGTAATGACCGTAGAAAGCAAAGATTAGCACAATCTTGCTCTAAATTTAATACAATACTGTTAATTATTTTTTTAACATAAAGTCCAATTCGTATTGATTTCCAATCCCTTTTTAGAAATCTATTTACTGTTGAATAAAATATGGTCATTTTCAGGTTATTATTTAATATGCACATTTGTTTTATGGTGAATTGGAAAGAAAACATCAAACCGAATTCACTTTTTAGTAATTAAGGTCAATAGTGGGACATGCAAGGTAATATTGATATTGATTCATCGATGACAGTATAGTATAGAGGCTGAAGTTAAAACAACTGCAATTCATTTTCAGACAGTTATTAGTCAATCAGAAAACTTTGTAAGATTCTATGGTAGTTAAAAGTAATATTTCGCAATTATTCTAAATATTTTGAGTAGTATGAGAAAATAATTATTCTGGTTGTTATACGTGAAATTTTAATTTCTCGCTAAAGCCTAATAGTCGCATTTGTAATTCTGATTGATTTATCCTTATACTAGACTTTTACCAATTTATCTTCAATTACATATTTTGAATTCATTCAGTTCATTAAAAAAAATGCTCGAAACTAACTCAATGAATTTTAAGTTCATTATGAATATCTGTGAGAACAGGTATTATGATAAATGTGCATTTGCACTAATTGTAACTGACTAATTTTTAATTTATTGTGTCGTCTCTATAATACAAGAGAAATATGGTTTTAGTCAGTGTTACATGTTATTTTACCAATTCATTAAACATTCTGGTTACATTATGACTATTTTCTTGAAAATCCCTTATCCTTGTACTTGTAGATCACCTATTCTTTAACTGTACAAATATTACAATTCATTGTTCCTATTTTTAGTCTGTTCTGATTGGCTAATCATTAATGTTAATCTCTTCGATATTCTAAAACACTTTTATGATAAGCTGATAGCATGTATTGAATAATAGTCATCAAGTTCAAACTGCACTGTCACGGCGTTTGCTTTGTTTTCCTCTTCATATGTTTTCGAGAAATGAAAAGTAGTTCAAACGTCTAATGTATTATGAGATGACAAAATGTGACCAAAGAAAAACGTTTACGGATGAAGACTAATTCTTGTTAACTAATATTTAAAAATGTTTTCATATATTTTTGTGAATATTAACAAGTTAAATGGATATTAGATGCTGATTTATTAAAATACTGCATACTTATACAGAGAATTCTTCACTGTAATCAAACATACGGTATTGAATTAAACAATTATGGTTATTATTTGTTATTTTCTTCAATAAATTGCTGTTGGAATTCGTAGGTTAACGACAACGTATTATCCGCTAAAGTCACGGTTCACAGTTATCTGAACCTAAATTACAATATTGATTATTCAGCTGCTGTAAAATTACTGAATGTAAGATTAAATAATTCTGATGCTTAGTGCCTAACCTAAACAGTTATGACCTATACATCTTATCATAACTTAAGAATATCAATCTAAGTGAATTCACAACTTCCAATTTCACAGAACTAGAAGTGTTTCTGTGTTAGTTCCAAGTATAGTTGGTAATACAGTCACAGTATGATAACCAAATTCGACTCATAACATGCATAAGTGAAAAAAAGCCAGCAATACTTCAACTTCTTTTGCATTATTTAACTATACAGTTAAAGTGTTCAGTTCTAGTGCATAATTGGAAACCTGTTTATTATAAAACCAATAATGTGAAATATGACTTTTTAGTCTACACTAATAAGGAATAAAATTTACAAAAAATGGTTATTCTTACATGTAAACAAATTCATATTGATGTATTTTATTGTCAGTGACAAAGTATAGATACGAATGTAAAATCAGTTTTTACTAAAATAACAAGATGTCTAATTTTCATAATAAAATGAAATATCATTAGATCCGTATCAATAGAGTTTGTTGCGAACTAGATTATATAAAACAATAAGTTATTCATTATAATCATTTCAAAGACTCAAACAAATAGTTGTATAGAAATTCCTTACAAATTTTACGTTAGCTGTTTTAACGATGCTAGTGACCAGTGAGTGCTCTTGTAACTTGCTTTTATCCTACTTTTTTGTATAGTACTTATACCGATCAACAATTTTCATCAAACTGATGTTTCTTCAGTATACGGATGGAAGAATTTTAATTTGTAATATAGATTTTCTCTTCTTCATTAATCATAATGAAAATAGTGGGAGTAATATGTTCATGAATATATTTCAACTAACTAAATATAATTGAGACCATTAACTGATCAATGTTAGACCACGAATAATATTGTCCGACCGGCCATTTTTTTTAAAAAAAAACCCACCCCAATAAAAAAATTTTCCACCCACAAATTACAATATTTTTCATCCCGTGTTTCGTCCAATGAAATGGCTAGTTTCAAAAGTTAGATTTAATTGGTTAGTTATGTCTTGAAAATTGTTATAAATTATCAGTACTTGTTGACGAAGCACAATTTCAATCGTCATTATGGAGCAGAGTAACGTGCCGAGTACAAGCGCTGGTGTTTCTCACGTAACGGAAATGGAGGAAGTCTTTTTGACTACCTTGTTTCTGGTTGCGTTTCCATCGGTTGAAGCGTTAAAGACCACTATCACAAATTTTGAAAGATCGACTTACAGTCATTATGTAGTGAGAGATTCGCATATTGGCAGAGATCAAAAGTCGTACATTAAATTTGTGTGTTGGTGAAATTGGCGTATAATATCTAGCGGTTCGTCACAACGTATTAGACGGAGGAAGTAATTTGGTAAATGGTTTTATAATTTTTTTAACGAAGGGCTTCTATGAACACCCAATGTCCGGCCTTCATGTTTTGTAAGATTATAGACGGCTATTGGACTGTTGTACGTGGGAATGTGCATCACAATCACGAGTGCAATTCCCTGAGGTACCAATGTAATTCATGGGTGCGCAGGTTAACGGATGAAGAATTTGAAACTGTGAGACCGCTGCTGATTTCCCGTACTGCTGCATTCCACATAAAGAATTTTGCTTACCAATCTTATGGGAAACGTCTGACTGACCAAGATGTCTGTAATATGCGGTACAAAGTGTTCTCACACGCGAACCTTCCTGGTACGCAATTTGCCAATTTATAATGTACACTATAGGTGATTACGGGAAATTGAAAGCTCACATAACATCCTTGGGTGGGCTTTGCGAATACGAATTGGACGATGAGAACTGTCTATCGTATTTCTTCTTCATGACTGCTGAGCAATTGAATTTGGCCGGTCACTTTTGTGACGTAATTGGTTTTTGGTGCTGTTAGAGGTATGAGGGCGGTTATCACTTCCCGGTTGCCCAC